GGGCACAGCCGGGCAGGTCCAGGCTGCCCAGCAGCTGCAGGACACCAGGGTCGCCCATGCAGTTGTTGCTCAGGTCCAGCTCGCGCAGGCTCTGGTTGGCCAGCAGGAGCGCCGCGAGCCCACCGCAGCCGCCATTAGACACGTCGCAGTCCCCCAGCCTGGGTGGAGAGCAGGGCAGAGGTTGGGGCAGAGGGCACCAGTGACCGGCCTAGTGACCTGGGCCATGCTCGTGGCCCCGGCGTCACAGCTCTCCCCCCACCTCAGCCTGGAGGCGCAGAGCTCCCCTCTGCGGGCACAGCAGCCACAGGCTGGACTCAGGACCCCAACTCCTTGCTTCCTCACCCCCGAGCCCGGCTGGGTGGGGCGGAGGCTCTACAGAGGCCAAGGGGATGGCTGGGGACAGGAGGCACGAGGGCCAAAGGAAGGTTAGAGGTGCCGGCTCCCGCCGGGGGGGGGCAGCGGCGCGAGGCCCAGGGGCCCCCAGCGCCACAAGACCACCATGCCGAGGGGCCGCGCCGGGGCAGACCCAGGTGTCAGGGACCACAGCCCCTCTCCCCGCCTGACGTCAGAGTGTCCCCAAGACCCTGGAGGCAGGACAGTGTCCCCTGGCAGGATGCAGGAGGGTCCCGCCTGGGGCTCAGCTGCAGGGCCGGCTGTCTAGGGCTCCTCGGCCCCACCTTCGCCTGGTGCCCGGGATGACCACCGTCCCAGGGGAGCCACCAGTGGAAGGCAGGCAAGGACACAGAACAGAGGAAAAACAGTGACGGCAGAAGTGAAAGGCTGAGCAGCTGGGCTGGAAGGCAGAACAGGGAGCCTGGAGGCCGGCCCACCAGGCCAGCAGAGGACCCTGGAGCACGACACGACACGCTCCTTCAGTGCAGCCAGCACCCAGCACGCACGGTGCCGGGGAGCACGAGCCAGCTCACGCCAGGCAGCACGGAGCAGGGCCCCGCCGACGAGGGCCTGGCAGGCAGGCGAGCGCAGGCCGGGGCGGAAGCTGCTCTGGGTGGGGGCCGAGAAGAGAACACCCAGAAGGCTGCGTGGGGACAGGGCTCCCGCACGGGAGGGGGCCCTGCCGCCCCGCGCAGGCACACTCGCGCTCCGCCCGCTGGCTCACCAGAGCGCGCGCAGCACGCAGCCGGGCTGGCGCAGGCCCCGGCAGAGCTCCTGGACGCCCGCGTCACCCAGCTTGTTGCTGCTCAGCTGCAGCTCCAGGAGACGCTTGTTCCGGGCCAGCACGGTGCTGAAGTGGGGGCAGCAGGCGGCCGTGAGGCTGCAGGACTTCACCCTGCGGGAGGCAGGCAGGGACTGAGGTCGCTGCAGACCTGAGCCCGAGGGGCGCCCCTCCCAGGGCCCCCTCCCACTCCTCCTGGCTTCTGGGCAGCTCAACCTCAGCACCTCGTCCCTGCCCTCCCTCCGAGGAAGCTCCGGCCCCCAGGCCACAAGCCTCCTCACGGGGCGCACGCTCACCACAGCATCTCCAGCTGGCAGCTGGGCTGCAGCAGGCTCTCACACAGCAGCTGGGCGCCCTCGTCACCCAGGTGGTTGCCCGCCAGACTGAGCTCCTTCAGGGTCTCCTTGGCCCTGAGGACGCGGCACAGGTCTCTGCAGCCGCTGGTGGTGACCTCACATTCCCAGAGCCTGCGGGGGGGCGGGGGTGCTCGGGCTGTCACTGCAGGGCCAGCGGGGCGATGCCGGCCCCACGTCAGCACAGCGGCACTCTTGGACGTCCCCCGCCGCGCCCGGCCGCTCTGCAGGCCCTGCCCG